GCAGGTTTTATTTTGAATAAATATGCAATTAAATAAAAGCAGTTCCCAACCTGTCACTGAAACCAGAACAAGATACCAGACAGTTTCACAGGGAATATGCACATTCCTGAACAGACAAGCAGACACGAACAAATTATGAATTACGTGGAGTGAGGATAAAGAACAAACAGTAAATGATGCTACAGGCTGAAACAAGGCAGGAAAAGATACTGGGAAAAAAAAAAAAAGTAATAGTTCTACCTCACTACACAGTTATTCCAAGTTGTACACTTCAGTGTGTCATCAAATGGTCCTCTGCTGATTTTCCAGAACAGACAGGTGACTATTTCATATTAAGATTATTATTTCCTAAGGTATGGTGAGGCAATCACTCAACAGCTCAATGCCACCGAAAAGCTAAGGCCTCACACTATCCTCCAGTGCTAGCAACAAGGGAGAAGCAAGGGAAAATAGAAAGGGAATGGGAAAGTGAATCTTTCAGGGACAGTTTGCCATTAAATTCATTCTTCGCAATCAGGACCCTGAAGAAAGGATTTATCAGGTCGTTGCTCCAGTTGTACCTTAAACCTGCAATGTGAAAATTTGCACTTAAAAGAGAATTAAGAACCATCCCTTTCAAAATGTAATGACTAACGCTTCAATTTAACATCATAATTCTTCAAAGGACAGGTGAATCATCCTCCTATTTTTGTCCCAATTTTGTGGACACCACCACCACTACAGCTCCTGGGGCAGGGGGGAGACGTGCCAGAAGTTGTTCCTTACCTACAGTCACCAGCGTCCCACAGAACTGTGCCTGCCTAGCACCTCTGACACAGAACACCTCAGAAAGTAAGTTATTCTACTTATTGTCCCAACACAGCTTATGTCTGTACAAAAAGAACTGATTCAAACATATTCTTCAATCTCTAATGGTACATCCCCATCATGCTATTCCCTTTCCCACTTCCTCTCTATTTCTGATGCTACCCTTAACTTCTATCAGCACAGTAAGGTAGAAGTATGGCACAGTATATGCCCCATTCCTCTAACTTTCCACCTGAAATGGCTTTAAGTCTCCTACCAAGCACTCCTGAGACACTGTAGTGTCCAGGAAGGAGACAAAATGACGGCCCTCCTGCTCAAGTAGCTTCAGCCTTTTCTTTCTTTTCTTCTCAGGGATTCTGATGTTCACAGGACAAGAGAAAGCAAGTTCCAGTAAAAAAAGAAAGAAACAACGTGCCCTTCTTTTCTGAGGGAAAAAGGCATGCAAAGTTTAACTGTCACCAACTAATAAAGTGACAATTCGGACAGACAAATCTCACACAAGTTACAGAAATCCATGGTAGAAGTTGTAGTGCCTTCAACTCCCCAAAAGATGAAAGCACCAATGGAAACCGCATTACCTTCTTATGTCAGCACTATGAAAATTCTTCCACAATTTCTGAGTAGAGAAGCTCTCTGGTTTCTGCATATCCTATGTTTCTCAAGCACTTGTTGTTTATGTAGTTATGCCTAAAATTCATTTTAGGCAAGCTACTAATAAAGAATATATATATAAAGTCAGTGATGCTGAGTAGTGGAGCACGGACCATTTATTATGCAGAAACCAGGAGACAAGAAGCCCTGCATTCCTGATGAGAAACACAAACATCATCCAACTGCTGAAGATTTGAGGTTACTGAGATTCCTGTCTCCTATTCTGTTTCTCCTTGGTGCTCTACTCTGTTGGTTCCACGTAGGACTGTAAGAAATATGAGGCCCACTTAAAATGTGTCACATGATGGAAAAAAATGTAGTTTTCCTTTCTAAATTTCTGTCTCAACTGCAAGGCCTTCTTAATTGCCTATCAGAAAACAAACAAAAGGAAACAATGAAAAAACAAAGAAACAAAAAACAAAACAAAACAAAAAAAACACATTATTTTAGCATCCTAGAAACTTGCAAGAGTTTCAAGGGAACTTCAAAGAGAGCATAAATTCCTCTAGCCCTTTCACACCTTTTCCTCTGGCTCACTTTCTCCAGTCCATAGCTGTCTTTTCCTAAATTTATCAAGCAGCAGCATGATACAATTGATATTTTTGGCTATTTCCCTTTCTACAATAAATCTTTTTCAGAGGAACTGATAAGATCAGTGAGATCTCAGTTTGCTATAGCTTGGAGGAGTCAGAAGAAATAACACCCATATATTTAGCCAGTGAAAATGTTACTACAACTCCCATGTTCTTGCCATAACATCTTCTCCTCCTCACACTTCCATCTCAGAGTGCCCTCTCACTTGGGTCACCAGTCTTCAGAACAAACGAATATGATAACCTAAGTGTTCGGAGAGAGAAATCACTGTTGAACAGCACAAAAGAAAACAAAAGAATCTAAAGAACAGAGCAATTCAAATAACTTTCACAGTACTCCCTGAAATATACAAGCCAAGTCACTCTTGCCCTTGCTAGTGTGAGCTTCTCTAATGTCAACGGGTTTACTCAGATAAATGAAGTGGGCAAAACTGAAAACTAAGCCACAAGCATGAAGCTGATGTGAGATTTTCTTCACAGCTGTACACAAAGTTATCATTATTGTCAACAAACCTGCACCACATAAGCAGTAACAGTTACATGTACTATCAGAACATCTAGAAAAGTAAGTGAAACAAGTACTGGCACATTTAGGAAACAAACAAACCCCACAAAATTTTCCAAGAAGCCTAGGAATATGGTATTTTCAACTGTCAGGTTATTTCTAGACATGAGTATTTTATACCAGTAACAAGGACTCCTAGTTGTGCCCAAACACACCCGACGACCCACAGACATACGGCTGTCATCTCACAGTGCTTGTCTCCACTATTTGCATCTTCTCAATCAAAGAGGTTAAAAAATTATTTTAAAATTTCAAGTGTCACTTTTCTGTGTAAAAATATCCAGAGAATGCTGTACAATAAAAGCAGAAGAAAAATGGTCCATAAAAACATACGTATTCCACACTTGCTTTACCAGCGAAAGATTTTAGGAGCCTGTGTACTGTAATATTCCACAAGTACATTATGAAAACTTTATGAAAAACTCCATCAGAAAAAAAAAAAAAGTTGAAAACAAAATCTGCAAGTATCATCAAATGAAGTAATGTGTTTCTAGTCTTCCTGTAGAATCCATAGTCTTCATTTTGACGATTTCAGGTACGTTAGACACAGCATAAATCCAGATTTTACTGCAATAACAAACTTGGAAGATCACTTTCCAGTTTTTCTGAGAGGAAGCCCTCATTTTGTCCTACATGGTTTCAGAATATACATTCTCTAAATACCTGGAAAATACAATGCTATCTCAAACAAAGTCATCACGAGACTTTCAAACAATTCAATTTCAAATGCTTTTCCAAACCAGGTCACCAATACAAACAGATTGTAAATACAGATATTGTAAATACAAGCAGTGTAAACTGCAGATTAAATGGGCTTGTCAGGCTCCTGTGCAGGCAATTCAGCTTCACAGTTGAGCCATGTATACTAAATTGTAGATTTGCTCAAGCACTGAGCACAAAATCTCTCTTTCTGTTTGTTTTGCATGACTGACAAGGGTTAACAATTATTTCCAAACACCACACTTTCTGAACAAGGTCTTTTACTTCCTTAGTTCTCATTACAGGCTATCAGGTCTCAGGACTTGATTTCCCTTTCGCCTGTAATCAACGTATTGATGAAACAATATTTATCCTATACCTGTAAGATGGCAAACAGACAATTGTTACTCACTGAGCTGCCCAGTCTGTTAAGTGAAGACTCAAGTGTTACCACCAAATATTACCAATAAATACCCTTGAACTCTTGAAGGCTACCGAATGTGGAAAAAGTAAATAAACTGATATGAGGCAGTATTATAATGAGTAGACTCAAATTTTCTTTTTGCTTTACCTCAGTTACACCACCTTTTAATCTGCTTCACAAACACAGAAGTCTAAAAACAAAACTTTAAATATGTTATTTCTAGAAACAGTAAAAACAGGACTTATTGTCTGCAGTGAAAAAATAAACTCAGTGACCCCAAAAGGCCTGTTTATTACAGGTGTACTGAAACCCACTGTCCTGTATACTTTACCAGCTGACTAATATTTACAAGGTATTTAAATTCCTTTACACTTTAAAACACGTTAAGCATTATGTTTGCCATTACTGGAATTTGCTGTTATACCGAGTACAACAAGCAGCAGGCCTGACACAGCAGAGGATGCTTGTCAAAGCCTCCCTTTGCAGCTCACGGGCCACAAACTTTGTCACAAGGGCCTTTTCTAATTCCACCAGCGAAATACAAAGCCGGGCCTTCATTTATAATTCAGCACAGCTTGTCCCATAAATTGATAATGCCTTTTAGAAGGTTTTGATAACTGGCACACACCGTTGTATTTTGTACGCAGTTATACGTATAGGTTATGTGTGATAGGGAATACACGTGATTTCGTCATATAGGCAAAGTTTGGGTGTTTAAGGACTTTTCGGGACCACTTTGGCCACAGTGCATGGGTTTACCACAGGTACGGGGGGCGCCCAGCCTCACCCTGTTAGCAGGCAGCCACTTGTGGAGCCTGAAGCCCCCCCGTAGAGGCAGGAGCCAGCCCCAGCCGAAAGCCCTGCCCCACTGGCTCATGTGCTCGCAGCGTGCAGGCTGCCCGCCCGGCTCACGCCGCGTTTTAGGGCAGCTTTTGCCGATTTTAGCGCTGAGAGCAGCCAAGGGGGGCTGAGAGGAACGAGCCTTGCCGAGGCCTAGCGGACACACGAGGCCTCGGGCAGCCCGGGCTCCCCCCCCGGGAGCAGCGGAGACCTCCTCGGGCGGGACAGAACCGGGACCAGGGACGGCACCGGGGACGGGACCGGGACCGGGACACCGGAGGGGGGAGCGCCCGGGGGGCGGCCCCACAGCCGCCGCCGCGCAGGGGGCGGCGGGGGAAGGAAGGATGGCGACCGGGCAGCGCCTCGGGCTGGGGAGGGAGCCGCCAAGTTTTGTACCTGTCGGGAAGCCCGGCTGCTTTCAGCGCCCAGGGCCACCTTTTGTCCCCGGGCCCCCGCCACCCAGGCATCCAGGCAGAGTTTCCCCAAACTCCAGCGACCCCGCTTGCCTCCGGAAAGAGTTGTGCTGTGCCCCGTCCCCCCCCCCCGTGTCCCCCCCCCCGGTCCATAAAAGCCTGACAACACCAAGTCACCGAGGGGCTCGCACACAGCGTGCCGATGGGGAGGAGGAGGAGGAGGAGGAGGAAGGCACAGGGGGGTGCTCCCAGCCCCTGCCCCCCGGCCTCGCACCCACCTGTCCCTGGGGTCGATCCAGCTGGTCTGCTTGGTGTTGTGGTCAATGTAGAAGACTTTGCCGTCGTAATCCCTCGCCTCCTCCCAGCCATCGGGTAAGGGGAGCTGCCCATTCCCCGCTTTCCTAGGCATGGTCGGCGGGCGGGGGTAGCTGCTCCATAGGGACGGAAAGAAAGAAGGGAAGCGGGAAAAGCCCCCGCCCGGGCCGGGGAGGCCGGGGGACGCGCTGGGGGGAGCCCGGCGAAGCCTGGGGGGCCGCCGGCTCTCAGTCCACCATGTCGGGGCGGGCGGCAGCCCGGGTCAGGCTTCCCGGCGGAGCCCAGCTGCCGTCTGGGCGCGGGTGCGGGGAGCCCGGCTGAGCCCCGGGCGGCCGCGGCCGCCGCTCATTAGCATGAGATTAGCATCCCGCTCATCTGCATGCACATTCCTCCCGCCGCATTCCTCGCGGTTAACCCTGACGGCGCTGCCCGCCGACACCGCGCCGGGCCCCGAGCGGGGCGGGACGAGGAGCGAGGCAGGAAAATGCCCGGCGTGGGGAAGGGGCAGGGGCAGGGGACGGGCGAGGCGGAGAGGGAGGCCCCGCGGCTCCCCCGCGGGCCGGCTTCCCGCACCGCTCCGCCGCCCCGAGCCCTCTGCCCCCCGGCTGCCCCAAGCCCTTTGTCTGAGGGCCGGGGGCCGGCCCCGCGTCTGGGGCTGGCCCCGGGGGCTGTCCCGGCCCCTCAGGGCACGTCTGGGGGCAGCCTCGCCCGTACCTCGCTGCCCCGGGTCGTGGCCGCCCCCACGGAGCTCCCCTCGGCCTCCCGTCGGGGTTGGCGAGAGGTATTTGTGCCTCACGAGCTGGGCTTCGCAGCCCTGGGGGGGCGTTCAGGTGGGCTCGCTCTGAGCCGTGCCAAGGCTCAAGGGTTGGGGAGAGGACGCTGAGGTTTAAAATACCTAAGGTTTTCTTTTTCACTTCAGTTTTCAACTTTTCTCCTCTAATCCAAACTTTTCTTTCTTTCTTTTTAAACAGAAACACCAGCAGAGAATGTCTATGTACTGTGTGCACAGAGCCATCCCGGCCTGCAAAGCAGCCGCCTATGTTGCATTAAGTATAGAAAGCAGGTGTGAGTTACTCTACGTTTATCTCATGTTTGCCACAGGAGAAGAGCATGTGAGGCTAGTTACCATGGCTCAGCTGATAGAAGGTAACTTAATGAGCTCTATTCATTTGCATGTGTATCTGATTCCTGAGATTTGGTACCACAAGTGGAGCACCAGTGGTAGAGTATGGCTGTAGTTTAGTGTCTGGAACTCCTAGGAAACCCAACTTTTTTTCTATTTTCCAGAATATGTTGTCTCTTTCCACCTAGCTGTTACTGGATTAAACAAAATTTTCCTGGGAGAGAGGGGTCTGGAATCCAGATCTGTCTTCTCCTTTCCTTCTTTCTTAAATCTGCTTGCCTACTCTATTATAGCTCCATTTAGCACTCAGCTTTATGAATTATTCTTCTGATACAAATTATACTTATTAAGAACCGGACTTGTCCGCTGCCTAACAGGGTTTTGGATTCCACTTCAGTGGCCAGATACCTAACCATTAGGCATTGCAGGAACTAATTTGCAAGCATCTAACTCCCATTGTTGGTTCTGCTCCCAAATAGAAAAAAAAAAAATACCATCAAGATATGACTTTAATTTAGCTAATTACCAATCTGGTTAAGACCTATGTAATTTTAGTCACTCTAATTATTTTATTCTGTAATACTAATCTGCTTTTCTATCTCTGCAAATGGTTTTTATGCTTCCCAAAAAACACGTGTTTGTTAAGCTCCAGACTATCTTAAAGTTTTTATTTTCACGTCTGCTGAATTAAGGTGATGTGCAATGAAAGTACATACTCAATATAAGGCCCTGGTGATTAACAGTGGAGAAAAACTGAGCTGTCCTAACCTCTGGATCTCTGTCAGGGTTCAGCTACAGAAAGTAACAGGATCATTGCCTATTAAAGTAACAGACTCATTCATTTTCATTGAGAGTATTAAGTTTCAGTCAGCTGATTGGTTCATAAAGTCCAGTCTTTTTTTCCATCAGTGTAAAGAAGCACTTTTACTATCCATTGACATTTGTGTCTCTTCCAATAGTCTAATTTTATAAACTTGCTTTTAGGTGACATCCTGCAGTGAGAAAGTACATGTAGCAATTATGGGACAGGATAAGCTGGATTTCTTTTTCCATTTTAAAGTTTAGTTTGCTTTATCAATGAGGCTTCTTGTTATGTAAGCTGAAAAAAGCTACAGAGGATATTCTTTTCTCTGAACCTAGCTGCCAGTTACTTATCTTTGGCATTAATAAGAGGCTTTTATAATGGTACAGCCTTTTTCATTCTGAAAAAGGAGGCCTGCTATACAGCAACATTCCTGTTTTCCTACCCTCTAAACAATCCACACAAAAAAAAACCACATGCAGTTAGAAAATTTGTAGTATCAAGCCAAAACTGAACTGTCATTTCCCCCAAAGTTAATTATGACATCTGAAGTAGTAACTAATCCCTATTCTATGTCACCACCACAGCAGTCCAAACCACATCTGTTTTTTTATTGGTCAGATGAGATCCACATGGTTGTTGAGCTGATTTCTAACTGTCCTTGAAGTAAAACCTCTCATCAGAAAACATCAACACTTTCATTTGTACAAACAGGTAGAAATGGTACTTCTTAATTTTTGTGAATAAATGTATTAAGACCACTGCATACTTGTCTACACTTGTGGGTGCATATACAGATGTGCTTACACTTAAATGCAAACTATTACGTGGTGAGTGTTAGGCTTTCTCTGTCCCCCCTCCACTTTCTGTTGTTTGAGTACTTCATCATATTTGCAGTCAAGAGTCCACAGTCCAGAATACCAATTTAGAATTACTTAGAAATTACAATAGTTGAAGTCATACTGACAAAAAGTAGGTAATATTTGTGTAAATAAATGCCAGACCTTTATTGTTACCATAACATTTAGAAGAACATTTAGCTTTTTAAATGTCTGCTTTTGCTGTAGGTAACAGATACTAACTATCATCCTGTTTCCTGCTATTTTTTTTGCAATTTGAACTGGTGGAAAATAGTTTCTTCCACTATCCTTCGATATTCTTTCTTATATTTAATATAAGAAGGTAGAAGAAAGTTCATAATGACCCTTTTTAGCCTAAAATATGCTATAAATTTTAACTAAAAGTAGTTTTGCAAGTATACCTCCTACATCTCAACTGATAACCTTCCTAGCATGTTGTGCTGACATTGTCAGCTGACAGCATACCACAGATTGTTTGGCTTAATTGCATAAGACAGAATAGTTCAGAAGATGTAAGCATGCTTTATTCAAAACAGAAGGGTGCATATGTAGGAGTTGTCTGAAAGCACAGAGTAATGTAGCTTTGGCATGACTTAAGTATTTATTTGTAAATATGATTAATAACAAGATAGGCTCAATGAAAAGGAGCTAATTGTTCCCTGTTTTGCTTTGTGCATGCATGTTGAACTTCTTCAGACCTGTTAACATTAGAAGTAGTACATAGTTAAGGGACTGAGTTAAAGGGAATTAGATTTGTAACCATTTTGTGTCCTTTCTACTTCACTCTTGTCAGCTAGAAGGAGAAAAAATGAAAGCTTGGAACACAAGAACAGAGGTTGCTGAACCCAGAAAGGGGTAAATAGTTGTGCCCCTGTCATGTAACAAGAAGCATTCCCTACTCCAGACTGTACTAGCGTAGTTAATCTGCTGTTCCCTGCTTACTTCTTGATTCACGGTAAAGCTGTTTCTGGGACTAACTGTGACTATAAAAAAAAAAAAAGGCATGTTAGTACCCTATCTCTCTATAACAAAAGACTCCCTTAACTTGATGATTCTCCAAACTGATGTCCCTGAAGAAATTTACAGCTGTTACAGCCCTAACTCATACTATCCATAAATGGCTCTGAATCAAGAGCCACAGCTGTCTCCCTGAAAATCTACATAGTTCAGTCTCTGCTGCTTTCAAACAGAATTTGAATGCAGGATGAATTATGAAATATGCTGACAGAATTAATCTCTGGAAACATATGACAAAAATGTTTGAATATATATGTATTAGTTATGTTGCTATTTTTTTAGACACTTAAACACTGTACAAACCAATTTGGACAGCCAATCTGACTTCCTTGACATATAGCTATAGTAAAATTGTAAAAAAAAAAAAAAAAGTCAATATTTTCAGCATTATAAATACTGACTTATTTTTTTATAAGCACAGTGATTTTTTCTAAGATGGCTACATCTTCAAAAACAAAACAAAAACTACCACCAAAAACAAACAACCAAAAAAAAGGAAAGAAAAAACCCCAATAACTAAGACTCCTTTGTGCCAGAAGATTTTTATTTTTAATAATGGTTTTAAAAGTCCTGTAAAGCAAAACAGTGTACATGGTGGAGGGAGGAAAGGCGGAGGAGTGCTACTTTTACTATTGTCAGCTTCTTATGCATGGATACGGCTGAGAGTAAAAGATCTTTGAATAATATTGTTTCTAGTTGAACTTATGATGAAACTGCAGAAGCAGTGGAGCCAGTGAACAGCTTTGATAATGCTTATGCTCATTCAGTTTTTCTCTTTACTCCAAAGCTTTCTCTTTCCCCTGATTTTCAATTGGACCACTTGCTGCTAAAATAGGATGTCCTACAAAGACTTTCCAGAATATTACTGAAAAAGCCCATACAGGGTTCTTCAAATGAATATATACATATGTATATATGTTCATCATATATTTATACATGTGAGCTTTTTCAAAACTTTGGCCGCCTTCTTGCTTTCAGGTAGATGTAAAAGAAAATCATAAGAAATTACACATTTTGAGTCCTTGAAGGCATAGTTCTAATCCCATACATCTGAAAATAAGTGCACAGAAGAATTTTAACTGATTGTTAGTCAGATTAAAAGTTTAGGGTAGGTACAGTAGAAATTATGTGGTAATAGGATTGCCCGAAGCTTAACTATGGAAATGTGAGTAATGTTTTCATGATAAAAATCTTAAACTCAGCCCTCTTTAAACCACTCATTAAAACTAACTCAGCATTCAGTTCTGTTAACTCTGATTCATGCTGCTGAAATATCAGCAGTATTGCTGTGGACAAAGCAAAAAGAAGATGGATAATTTTAGAATCATAGAATCATAGAATATCCTGAGTTGGAAGGGACCCTTAAGGATCATCAAGTCCAACTCTTGACACCGCACAGGTCTACCCAAAAGTTCAGACAATGTGACTAAGTGCACAGTCCAATCTCTTCTTAAATTCAGACAGGCTCAGTGCAGTGACCACTTCCCTGGGGAGCCCGTTCCAGTGTGCAACCACTCTCTCTGTGAAGAACCCCCTCCTGATGTCAAGCCTAAATTTCCCCTGAGGTTAATCAGAGAGGTTAATGAAAGTTTCTTGATGCAGTCTTGGTACATATTCTTGCTGTTAATATCTTCATAATCTCTGTATTTTTTTTAAATGATCTCTCTCATGTATACAAATTTAACTTTCGTACATTTCATTGTATCTGGAATTGCAGTGTCTTTCGCTGCTGTCTAATGACTTTGGAGAATCACAAAGGCATGCCCAGTCAGCCAAGGAGGTTCTCAAGAGCTTGGCCTTCTCTTTTGGCCATGTAGGGCAGAAATAGACCAGCAGTAGAGGGACTCAATGAAGAATGAAAAAGTTTCCCAACATCAGCTCCTTTGGTGGACAGCAATTAATTTCTTCAAGTATTTAAGATACTCCAACAAGATTTACAGAGCTAATGCTTTTAACAGTCCCTTTCTACTGGTGCAAGGAGTAAGAGCTCCCACCACGGCAAGGAGAAAGCACGTATGTCTGCTGTGTTGTATCTAAAGGAGGCAATGGATGAAATACAAAAAGGAATGTTTTATCAATAACATTCTCAAGTATTACTCTCTTCTATATCATCCGTGTACTTCTAGAAACACAGTGCAGTGATGAAGTGGACTGGATTAATTGCTTGAGTATTTAAGATTTGCATTACAAAAAAGTGATCTGACTGAGTAAGAGAGTTAAAGAACCTGTTTTCATAACAAATGAAAGTATTTTTCAAAACACACAACCAGTACAAACCCAGCAAACTTCTATATGAAAAAAATGCTTCTTTTCTCTTCCACCCACTTCCTACCTCTTGTTTTCCCTTCCAAAAAGTGCAGTTCCTTTGCATGAATACAAGGTATTTTGACTTCTGTCCTGTTCTGACACCAAGCAAACCCCAATTCTGTCTGATTGCTAACAGAGGCTAGAAACTATGTTGCAAAAATGAAATCTCAGAGCTTGTTCAAATCTGTATCAAGAATGAGACTGATGCATCAACACCAAGATTTAGCACTTCTGGACTGCTAGAGGCGTTGCTGAGTTGTGCTATTCATCCCATGGCAATTTTCATTCCAGTTTGGTATCTAAAACCCAGGATCCCAATAAAAAGTTCTCAAGATCATGGCATAGTATTACTATCTTCGCTTTGTGGTGGACATACCAAAAGAAATGTGTTAAGTGACTTGATAGAGTAAAAAATACCTAAATGAAATAGGATAGGAATGAGAACATAGATGCTTTCAGCTGCTGAGCTGAATCTGTCGAACTGTACTGTGTCATTTTTATTATTTCAATATGTGGTCTCAGAAATACTTGGGATAAGCTTTCTTATCACAAGGAAAAGATTATAATTCATACAAAAATTCCTTTTATTTTGTATCTAATTCCCAGGTAAAATATGGTGTATAAAAGCTAAGCTATAAAGTCCATATGGTGAAACATATGTTATGAAATACCCATGTCCACATATAAGACACATTACACTATTCCTACAGCTCTCTCCTTTGGATTTTTTGGTGGAACAACATTGCAAAAGCATAAATTGCTATACTTGTGTGTTCATAAATGAAATGCAGTAATAAAGAAACAACCTCTAACAGTGTAAAAGATTGCATTAGATAATAATTCAAGGAAAATAATTCAAAGCTAGGCAAAGTCTGCAAAATTGAAGTATTAAAACATAATCCTTGGACTGAAATATCAGAGCTGTTGCTGATAATCAGCTGTTTTGTAAAGGTGTGAATGTAAAACCTAAGGATATACAGTTGATGCTTACAGCTGAGGAATCACAGGATGGTTGAGGTTGGAAGGCACCTCTGGATGTCATCTGGCCCAACCGCCCTGCTCAAGTAGGAGCACCTGGAGCATGTTGCCCAGGTGGCTTAGGAAGATCTCCAAGGATGGAGACTCCACAACTTGTGTGGGCAACCTGTGCCAGAGCTTGGTGATGCTCACAGTGAAAAGATTTTTTCCTGATGTTCAGAGGGGAACTACTGTGCTTGAGTTTGTACACGTTGCCTCTTGTCCTGTCACTGGGCACCTCTGAAAAGAGCCTTGCTCTGTCCTCTTCACACCCTCCCTTCAGGTATTTATAGACATCGATAAGATTCCCCCAGATCCTTCTCAAGGCTGAACAGTCCCAGCTCTCCCAGCCTTTCCTCTTAAGAGAGATGCTTTAGTCTCTTTGTTATCTTCATGGCCCTTTATTGGACTCTCTCCAGTATGCCCGGGTCTGTCTTGTACTGGGGAGCCCAGAACTGGGGACAACACTCCAGGCGTGGTGTCACCAATGCTGAGTGGAGAAGAATCGCATCCCTTGACCTGCTGACAACACTCATCCTATCATAGCCCAGGGTGCTGTAAGGACACCTGCTGGTCCATGGTCAGCTTTTTGTCCACCAGGACCCCCAGGTCTCTTTTAGCAGAGCTGTGTTCCAGCCGGCTGGCCTGGAACATGTAATTGTGCATGAGACTATTCCTCCCCTTGTGCAGGACTTTGCACTTGCCTTTGCTCAACTTCACGAGGTTCCTGTTAGCCCTACTTTAAAGAACACAAAAGAGTGGCACATAATTCAAACATACCAAAACAAATAAAGTGCTATGCTGCAAATACACTTCTTGAATTCTAGAGCAGAAGTGTCCCAGCAAGTGAACCCCTGGATGTTTAGACTTAGTGCTGATTTCCTTTTTGGTCTAGCTAGGCAATTAGAAAAAGAGTTACAGGGCAAGAGCTATACTCAGGTTATATGTAACCACTAGCTATAGGTTTCAAGATGTTGTTAAGAAAAAACAAAGTTCTGACCGATAAAAATGTATATTTTTAAAGTTTTAGGTTGTTTTCATAGGTCATGAACAGATTAATGCAAGCTTTTGTTTGTTTTGGTAAGAGGAGGAAAAGAAATATGCTGGGGCGGGGGAGAAGAAGGTAAGGAGTTGCTTATTAAAAGAGATTTCTGTGAGTCAAAGAAATCCCTGAAGGAAAACATGTTTCAAAAAAAAAAAAAAATCTCAAAAAGAACATAGAAAATTCTGAAAGCACATATATGCAGATTTTATGTGTCCATAACACCACATCAAATATTAACATTTTTCTGCATATATCTCTGAGACATCTTTTTCGGTGTCTCAGTGTAAATGAAGAAAAGGTACAAACAGAGAAAACTTGGTGGCTTCAGAACACTGCTGTAATGAACCTGTAGTGCTACTCCTGCCCTTCATCCTAAAAGCCATGAAAGAAAAAATAGTCTACACTGCCTTTTAATGCAGCAGAGGCCTCTTGCAAGTCAGTTTGTTTAATCTCCCTTCTCAATATTCCACATCTGTGGAATATACTTCTCTAGCCATCTCATTTTAATAACATATTCTAATCCATTAAACTCGCTCTGGTAAGCTTTCAGTGAACCATGACATTTCCAAATCAAAGTAAAATCAAAGGCCTTAAACCAGACTGCAGAGCTAAAATTCTCTTTCATATCCCTTTTGCTTTATTTACAGAAGACTCATATGTTCAAATATACCAAATCAACCTGACAGAATAATTATGATGTCTTGTCATGTCATATTTTTGGAAACAATGTCAAATAATGACCTAAAGAACCTGCAGAAAACTAAGAAATAGCAAAAACAACAACAACACAAACAACAAAGCAAAAACCAAAGTCAAACAATTATATATGTAAGACAGCCTGTAATTAGTATGTCAAAACTTTCTATTTCCTCTCCAACTTTATGGGACAGTTGATACTTTTGTAGCACCATTGGGAAATCCTCTTTTAGTCAGGCCCATGACTTAAAATCCTCAGCATGACTCCCCATGCCAAACGCCATCTAGCTGGATACAGGGCAAATTCTGTCAATGCCAGGATATGCCAGGGTTTCATCACCTCTGCAAAACCTTTCTTTTCCAGACTAGCATTGGGATCTAATCTACGTTGGTTGTTACATGGGATTTCTGAGATACGAGATTGTCTCAAAGTGTAGCTAGGCTTATCAATATTTTTAATGTGAATCTGTTTGAGCAACTTGTTCCAGGACAAACTGCAGAAGTATGTTTTCTCAAAAGGAGACGCATGTCAGTTAGGAAGAAAACTACATTACTAAAGTAAATAAGGATAATGGAATACCAAACCAAATAGAAAAAGTCTTTTTTAGGGTTGCCTTCAAATGACTGCAGGAAACCCAAATAGCTAAATGCTACTAACTTGAATTTTTATTTGAAGCAAGTCAAGCAAGTGATTTTTGCATCATCTTCAAATATTGGATTTTAATTACATTGCTTCATACATAGCTGAATTAAACATAGCTGTAGAAAAGAGGTAAACATTTCCATGTCAGAATTCTCCACTCTTGTGTTTTGTCAGACCTATTTAAATCTTTCTTTTTTTCACAAGTGAAACTGACTGTTTCTATTTTACAAATGTACATAATGTGATCAAATTGCTTCCTAATCTTCTCTTTGGTAAGATTTCACTCTATAGCTCAGTTTCCAGTCCATTAATGATTTTCACTTCTCTTCTCTGACTCCACTCCAATTAAAGGAGATTTTTCTTCAGTTTAAATTATCAAAAATATAAACAACAGTCACACTAGTGTCAAATATAGGGATATGTGGCATCTCTCCTCTTCTACTATAGATTCCATGGTTTTTTTTTGTCCACAGGATTAACTCCTGCCACAGCACCTCACCAAGGATTACTGCTGTGATTTAAGCTCTTCTTCTGTGTTATGGATTCTCAGGTCTAAGCTCGCCATCCTCCAAGGATAGCCTGCATACTTGTTTCTCAGATGTGTGACTTAATGTTTGTACAGTATTATTTACTTTTGACCAGTGTATTCCAAAGCTCTAGTGCCAGTCCCAGTTCCATCACAATGTTTTTTTGATTTATTGTTAGAATGGGAAGTATTTTATCAGCATCATTTATTAATATTTAATGTGCCTTTTCCCCAGCTGCAAGACAGAAGCATTCCATGAGCACGCCTGCGTTTTCCTGCATTATTTATAATTTTATTACTTCCATCCAGGAATGGACCCATACCATTGGTGATATCAGAACTATACAAAATCAAAATACAGGACTGAAAGTGGACCTATCTTCTTGAGCTCTGCATTCTGTGCAAGTTGACATACATCTTAAGGTTTTCCAAGCAAGGATTTGTATATACCTTTATGTTATTCCATTCTGATTAAATTAATGTAGCGATAAAAATTTTAAAAAGGTTATTTTACTTTAGTCACAATGTTTAGTGTAATACCATCCATTAATCTTAAAATCCACAAAATTTATCTGGGAAGGCCACAAAATTTCCCATATTTTTTTCAAAAATAAGGGCTAATTGCTATAATACTATCAAGAATACCATTCTAGACCTTACTTCAGCACTGCTGCTCTTGGTACCTCATTGGTACTGCTTTTCACAATGTGTAATGTTAAACTAACTGCAAAATAATGTGGACTATCTTTCTATTGGTTAGTCTGGAATTGTTTTGTAAAAAATACAGTAACTGTGTTTCTATAAGGTAATTTTGGAACCCAAGAAAACATAATAAAAAAGCTGGGCTTAGAGAAAATCTTTAATCTTGAGTTCCTTCTGCTAAAGACCTATTTGACATTTTACCAAATCTGAGGACTTTTCATTTCTCATCTATTCCCAGATGACCCTTCCTTTCTGAACCCTCCTCCCTCTCCAAAAATCTTGCTCGCCTTTCCTTCAGGGCCGGCTTGACAAACAGATGTAGTGGTAAAGGATTATCACTTATGCTGCTGCTCTGACTCACCCAGTCTGCCCGGAAGAGCTATCCTAAGAGCACAGAAATGAACACAACCCTTTGCTGTAGCATGTCAGAGTCTGGGCATTTTCCTGCCCTATTTGAGCTTTATGTCTCAAATTAATGAACACGTACTATTTCCCACACCCCAGGATTTTAGAGGGAACTTTCTGAGCCAGCATCCTGTGACATTAGAAAGCAGCAGACCGGGTTGGTCTCTGGAGGAGCAGCACCTGGAGCTCTCCTTCCTGCTGGAAGCAGTAGGGACAGCACTAGATATTTTGCCTCCTGGACCATGGAAACGGGCAGCTTCTGCCTTGGCAGCCAGGCTCCATTGCTTCACTGAGCGGGCCTGACTGGTTGCATTCTCATCCTGCTGCCATCTGCACGGTGTTAAGTAGGGAGGATGCTGGCATGCCTCTCTCCTCTTAGCAAAGCAGATTAACAGGGCTTTGCTCATTGCTCAAGGTTTCATGTTTTCTGCAGACATTACAAGAGGTATTATGCATACCAAGATCTACTTTCAAACTTCCTTCCAAACCACTAGCCTAAGCTTTTGACAAGTACTGATTACCATCTGATAATTTCAAAATAATAATATTATTCCAGAGGGTTCTAAAATCAAGTTTAAGTTTAAAACGGGTGCAGGGAGGGAATGAATCAGAGTCAATTGTGTTAATACATTAATTACACTAATACTAATAAATTTATATGTTTAAATTAAAATATCCAGGTTTATACTATTAAATCCAGAGGGCAAAAAAGTGTTGCAAACAGGTGAACAAAAGTTTTCCCCTGGCAGGATAAAATCATGCGAAGCAAAGGATTCACAGTGTTTCAGAAAGCCTGAGGAAGTTTCAGAGTTCAGTCTTTCTAGCCTATTCCTAACAGATTCAAATGTGTCTGTATGCTTAGATTTTAAGATAGCATGTGGATAACAGGTCATGCATGTGCATTTAGGGTGTTTTGGAGGAGCTGAACTTTGTAAATTAGCAGATGCTTGGAAGCATAGCGAAATACCGTTTGAAGTTAAATAGTAAAAACAATAGTATGCATGTACATTTACAATTTGACAATACATTAGATTTTGCTATTCTCTCCTAAGAATGATACCTTTAATCTCTTGCTGCATCTGAACATTCATTTGACAAACATAACCACAATTTTTTTCATCAATATTACAAAAACCGTGCCTCAAATAAAAATGTTGTTCTCATGGGACAAAACGTTAGATAATATATGCAGAAGTTACAGTAGCATCCAGGAGTTCGTATTTTGTAGCTGTTTTCATTAGGGAAAACCTTTATTAACATTTAGCATTTCTTTCATCAGCAAAGTGCTTTCAAAACATTTGCTAATTAAAACCTTTATATCTTTTAGACAGTAGAAGTGCCTTTTCCAGCCTGTACATGCAATGTAACTTATTTTATTAGTGGTTTGGTAATAAAGTCAGATAAACCTTTGATTTAATAATTAGCATTTATAGAGTGCTTTCTGCCTTCAAAGCACTTTGCAAACATTAACTAATTAATTCTTGCAACTCCCCTGTAATTTGGGGATGCAAGCATATTCGTATACATTTGCATGTAGTTTAGGGAAGAAAGTATTATCTGAGGCATTTTGTGAAACAAGAGAATTAAGACATATAAATTAAGTTATTCACTTAAGTCCACAAAGACAGAAACACTGTCGGAGTAGGAACTGAAACCAAATTATTCTCCTCACCCTCTCCCATTCTCTAATCACTCAGCTCTGGCAGTGATGGTGCTTGTGTAGGAATTCATGTAGTAGGTCTGCCTTTGCACGCTGGTCATCAGTCAAGGATGGGGTCACAGCAAAGGGTTGCAGCAAGGGCCAGAAGCTTCCAGCAGGCTACCAGTAATAAACTCTGCCCACGCTGATCCACCAGGTGTTGTCTCTCTGGTCATCACCATGATAGGAAAACAAAATTTAAAAAAAAGAAGTGGTATTCTGCTGACAGCTTCCTTTATTTCAGTCTCCAGGGTGGGTACAGCTTGGTATAAGTATGCGTCATTGTAAAAGAGGAATATAGTTTGTCCCCCTTTATTTTCTAATGTATTTACTGATTCGGTACATACAATAATACAGCTTTCTTTTCTACCTCAGCCCATCTAGCTAGGATGTTATACTGCATTTTAGTCACATGATAGACATGCACCTCCACATATGATATAGGTGGAATGAGAAGAGTATGGGCTCTAGGAGGGCTGCACCATAGACCATGGTATCAGAGGTCTATGAAGAGCAGGAAGGGTCATGTGCACTGTTTCAGCTCAGCAAAGCAAGTCAGCTCTCTTGACTTACAGACTTTAGGAAATTAAAACACGTAATGGCCTCTGACAAGGTTTCAGAATGAATGGCTTGTTTGTTTTTGCTAGATGTTGGGAATTCATATTGCTATATAGCTTTTTGTGTATTTTTGTTAGTGTATTTTTGTGTGAGTGATGATGTAGTAAGCCAGAAATGGGTTGCTTCACTGCTGTGTTTCAGTTTCTCTTCAGCCAACATTTGAAAAATCCAAGAAACTTCAGGACATGTTTAATAGCCTGACTGAGCCAAGTTTTCACATGTCTTGGTGTCTTCTTCAGGCAAGAGAAACAGAGTGAAACAACAACAGTTATCTGGCTGCTTGCTAATGCACATTTCATCATTACATTCAGATAAACTATACAATTAAGTAATGCAGGAGGTTTGTAAAGATTAGAGAATTAGGGACTAAACATTCCTTGGTGGTCAGCTATTCGTTAAGAATTGAAGAGTAACTTTTTTGTGATTCTGTTTCTGTATGCCGAGTCTATCAAGTAAAGACTACTGGAAAACAGAAAAGTGCTGCAATTTGTATTTGGTGTGCCAAGCACTATTTCTCAAAGGAGATGAACAGATTTTTTTTTAATTTGTTATTTTATTGTATTTATAATTAGCCGTCTGGAAAAAAAAAAGTTCTCTTTTAGCATCTGCAGTGATGCATTGATTCTTTCATTACAGCAAATACACATGACCCCCGGTGTTCAACTGTAAACAATAATAGTTACTGGCTTCATTAGGAAGCTAGCAGATGGCTTATAAGTTCTCATGGTAGCTTTTATCCATTTGAGGCTTGCAGTGTGCAAATGTTTGTCTTTTAAACAGGATAAAACAATGTAAAAGGGGCCCTGTGCTTTGTTTTTATTAGTAGCAATTCATTTGGATTGTAGATTTGAATCTGATTGCACTGTCAATTTTTCCTGGCCGCAGGTGAAGTACTTGCTGGGCTTTGCCTGTGCCTCTGCGGCACTTCTGTACTAAAAGAAATGAGGTCAGGTATCGCTTCTGGTGTTTGGACAGAGTTGTACTTTTCCTAGTAGTATTCATGTTGCAAACTCCTTCCCTCCCTTCCCTTCCCTTCCCTTCCCTCCCTTCCTTCCCTT